TCCATTTATTAACAAGGTCACATTTACAAGCACTAGGGGTTGGGACTTGAGCTCATCTTTTTGAGGAACACAATTCAAACACTACAATTCTCAAACCTACTAAAAATGTCCAACAAGTGTGTGAAAAATATTGGTGTGGACTGATAACATATTATTGCTTTCTGGGAGGCCCACATTCCACATTCCAGCCATTCAGTTCCGACTTCCTGTTTGCCACTCATTCCCAGCTGTTCATTGGTTAGGTGGGCCAATGCAGAAACACCTGAGCCTCCTGAGTGCCTGAGTGGCCAGCCTTTTCTCCTGTCCTTAATAAGCGAACACTGAGGAAGGGCTGCACTCTTCTCAAGTTCCATTAATGCCCCTCCTACAATCCCCAACCAATGTAAGCAAAGAGGGATGCAAATATTCATTAATACTTGTTACTGAGAGCAGCGGATGGTGTAATGGTTATGCTGGACTCCCATGTAGTCGACCACTGTTCAAGTCTCAGACTGAGCAGCTTAAAACTCATGCAAGCAAGTGTGCGTGTATGCCCCAAATCCTGAGAGGAGCATGGAGGAGAAGAGATTGCAGGGTGGCTATCTCCTTGGAGGTTGCTTTCTTACGTTCTGTCTCCCTGACAAGTCCACACACCCAATAACAAAAATTTCTTTTTTAAAAAAGTTATTTTTTGTTTGCCATGACACCTCCATTTTTATAGTGAACTTTCTCTAACTTAAATACATTTCCCTTTCAAAAGTCTCTAAAGATTTTTTCTTACAACATGTTTTTAATCTAAGTGGATTAGAACTACTTAAAAACTTGAAGGCTTAACAACAGTAACATGACTAAAGAAGTGGGAGCATTTTAGAGATACTCAGGGCTATTTCTGAAAAACAACTTTATAATTTGACAGGTTCTTTAGACACTTCAGGTTGGACTCAAGAGACAAGCGCCATGACAGTTTTCTTCTTTTTTTTTTTTTTTTTCTACTTGATTAATTGTTAATTCTTATGTCTTTCTGCCTTGTAGCATTCAGAGCAATTTTTAAAATACCTTACCTATGTGTGACTAGTCATTATCAGGCTTGTGACTTGAATAAAATTCCAAGGCTTGGCTCTTTATAATATTGAATTTTCTGTTAGCATTCCCATGACATAATTATAGAAATGTCATTGCTTGAAAAAAAAGCGGTGGAATAAAAAAGCTTATTCATGGGACCAGCAGGTGGCGTGGTGGTTAGGATGCAGGACTCCCACATGGCTGACGATGGTTTGAGTTCAGATCTGATGGCTTTCTCACTTTCCCTCTTTCTCTGTCTCTCTCTCTCTCTCTCTGGTGTATTAGAAAAATAATAATAATAAGTAAAAAAATAAAATAAATAATTTTTAAAAAAAAAAAGAGTATAAGATTATCCACTAATCTTTTATCCCAAGCAAAGAAACTCTATAAACACAGTAGTTGTAAGATTATAATTTCCAGTTTTAAGTAATCAGATTTGACATCCTGAAGCAGATTTTGAGATGCCTTAATATCTATATCTGTATCTATCTACATAAATCTATATCTATATCTATATCTATCTATCTATCTATCTATCTATCTATCTATATAT